GGAATTTTTATAAGTCAAAAGAAGTATGCTACTGAATTTTTGAAGAAATTTGGTATGCTTGATTGCAATCCTGTAAAGACTCCTGTAGAGGTTGGCACAAAATTATCAAAGGAAGGAGATGACAGATTAGTTGATTCCACTTACTTTAAACAAATTGTGGGAAGCTTAAGGTATCTGACTTGCACTAGACCAGATATATGCTTTGCGGTTGGCTTGGTTAGCAGGTTTATGGAATCACCACGACAATCACATATGCAGGTTGTGAAGAGAATCATGAGATACATAAAAGGAACTCATGACTATGGGTTATTGTATTCCTCAGATAAGTCTAATAATCCATTCAAAATGGTTGGATATTCTGACAGTGATTGGGGAGGAGACTTGGATGACAGAAAGAGCACATCTGGATATTGTTTCAATTTTGGAAATACGGCATGTTCGTGGTCCTCAAAGAAACAATCAATTGTTGCACTTTCAACTTGTGAAGCAGAGTATGTTGCAGCAGCTTCAAGTGCGTGTCAAGCTCTGTGGTTAAGCTATGTAATGGATCAAATTCTTTTTCCAGTTAAAGAGCCAATGAAGATCTTTGTTGATAATGTGTCTGCAATAAGTCTAGCCAAAAATCCAGTCACACATGGAAGGTGCAAGCATATTGACATACGGTACCATTTCTTGAGAGATCAAGTTGGGAAGAAAACAATAGAGTTAGTGCATTGCAAGTCAGAGAATCAAATAACAGATTTATTTACTAAACCAATGAAGTCTGAGGCATTCTTCAAGCTAAGAGACCTACTTGGGATGACAAGTCTCCAGAATTAGAATTGAGGGAGGATGTTGAATAAGTCAATTCTAATTTTATTTATCATTATCATGTTTATTTTTTAATTAGTCATAGTTAGTTGGATCCTATTTTATAGGATCTGGATCCTAAATTGTAGTGCTTCCTGGCCTATTTATACTTAACCATGTAGCAAAGAATATGCGTGTGAGAAATACAATAATCTAATTCTCTTACTCTCTCTGTACGTTGCAAGCTGCACTTTCAAAGTTTTTTTTTCTTTCTTTTGTTCCAACATTTTGCGCATTGTTAAGCATTCACTAGTAGTTAATCCTCAAAATATGGCATTGAGACCAAACCGAGTATGTTCTCTAATTGAGAGGTTAGAAATTCTTGGAACCATTAGTTTTAAAAAAAGATAACCTTAGCTTCCACAAGCGTAACTGCATATCAACAATACCAATTAGGATTCCCTAAAATATTTGGGTTTTCCTGAGAGAAATTGGGTTTGAAATTAGGAAAAGATGAACACTGTCATTTATTAATAAATATATGTTTAATTTGGTGGTTAAATGTTTTCTTTGACTTAAAACCTATTTTGTTTCTTGATTCCAGTCTTATCCTTAACTGAAATTTGCCGAAAATTAGTGTGCGCCCTTAAATGTTTGCCGGCTAATATAGAATTAGGTGGAGTTTCTTGTAGATGTCTTGAAATCTTAATTATCTTTGTTTAACATAATTTATTTATTGCATTCAATACTGCTGATCTGATGGGTATTTTTTTCAAATGTGTAGAATGAAAGTGTCTGGCAGCCTCAAGGATCCCCCTTGGAGCATGGTGCTGAATCCTTAACATCCTATAGAGCTCGGGAAACAAAAGTTGATGGTATCGCGGAGCAAGTTGCTAGTGTTCCCCCATTAAACAATCCAGACACACATGATGATAATCCCCGAAGTACATATTCTAATGTAGGAACTCCTATTCAGGTGATCCCTGATCGTAACATAGGGCAGCCACCTTCCCTTTCTAATTCTGGATCTCAACAGACTAATTTACTGTTATCATGTCCGAATGTGAAAGAGTGCTCACCTCTCGCCAGATCTGTTGCGGAACATGAGAGTAATCGTAGTCATGTTATTGATAGTCTGGTTCCGCGAGGACAATCTTCACGTCCATCTAGTCATTCTACTAACCGCTCAGCTCCTCTAATATATTCTCTATTTTGAGCTTACTGCTTTAGGTGTTTTATAAAATATAGATTAAAGCTCATTTATTGAATTACTTGATGGCTGATGTGATTATGGCCGGATAGGTAATTGTTCATAATTATGTAGGGTGCAAATTGTTGGCGGCGACATGGAGAATCCCGCTTGACACATAATACTACATCATATTCATGTGAAAGGCCGGGCAGGGAAACATTTGCTGATGCTATCTCTGGGCGATTTGCAAGTATGACCCCGTTAGACAATCCATACAAGCATGATGTTAGTCCACAAAGTATATCCTCTCAAGCAAGAACTCCTAAGCAGGTGAAACCTTATAGTGGCATAGACCAACCATTTTCTGCTTCTTCATCCGGATCTAGACACAAGGATTCCCCATCGTCTTGTCTGTCTGGAAAACTGCCATCACCAGTTAGTAGCTCCATCTTGGCAAATAATTGTACCAGCACTCATACTTCTAGTTTTTAAAGCATACATATTGATATAAACCGATCTGAGCATTGTGTTTCAGGATCACACAGGTAATGTTGTTTTTGACATATGCCATAAGAATAACCCGAACACTTTCAAGCTACAACCCTCGCTGTTGGAGAAGAACAGAGAGAAAAGGAAAGAAACTAAGCACAGTATGGATGCTCAAAACATCAAAATCTTAGGTGATGGTATGCTTCTTTTAAAGAGTTTCATCCCCTTGATGGATCAGGTTATGCTCTATCCTGTGCTTTTTCATTGGTTGTCTCCTGTGTTTCTTATTTGGAGGAAAAAAAAGTACGGCAATACCATTTCCTTATTTGCTTGGAGTAATGGATGTGTTTTTTAAAGCGGGTTTGTTTTTGCTCATTTAATGTGTTTTGACAGGTCAGGTTAGTGAAAACTTGCCGGGAGCTGGGCATTGGTTCCGGAGGATTCTACCAGCCTGGCTATAGGGATGGAGCAAAGCTGTCCTTGAGGATGATGTGCCTTGGTAAACATTGGGATCCTGAAACCAGCAAGTACAATGATCAAAGGCCTATTGATGGTGCAAAGCCTCCAGTAGTACCCGATGAATTTTGCAATTTGGTTAAAAATGCACTATGCCAGACCCGATCATATTTGGAAAAACAATTGAAATATAAAGACATAGATACTGTTCTTCCCTTAATGTCACCTGATATCTGTATTGTCAATTTCTACACAGCTACTGGCCATCTCGGTCTACATCAGGTTCCACACCTAATCATTTGCTTTTATACTATAGCAACATGTGGTCTTTTTTCAGTGTCATTTTTGTCGTTCTTTTGAACGGTAGCAGGATAAAGATGAAAGTCGGCAAAGTTTGGACAAAGGGCTTCCTGTGGTCTCATTTTCCATCGGTGATACTGCAGAATTTTTGTATGGCAGCGAGAAGGACATAGACAGGGCTAACAAAGTGTTGCTGGAGTCAGGGGATGTGTTAATCTTTGGTGGCAAATCAAGGCTAATATATCATGGTGTGAGCTCCATTAAACTAGGAACTGCTTCTAAGAATCTATCAGGCAAAACTAATCTTCAACCGGGTCGTCTGAATCTCACTCTTAGACAGTACTGAGAATGTTATAGGTACTCCCGTGTGTTTTCTATGCTACAATAGACCATTGTGGCCCCGCCTTATGTAACTCTGTTTTGCTTTCTACTTTTACCTTGTCTTTTAGATATTTTGTTTTTGACGTAAAATCTGGGTGGAATGCGTCTCTTTTTCATTTTAGATTGGAACAAATTTTTCCAATACTAATTGGAGGTGTGGAGCTTTATCTGCCTTTAAACACTTATTGTGTGCCTAATCTGATTTGATTTTATTTTTTGAAGATCTAATTTGGTCAGATCTTATTTGAATGAATTTCATTATATCTAAATTCGATTCAAATTAAACTTAAAATTTTTACCATAACTTAATAACTTTTAAAAAAGTCTAGTGATCATTTATATTATAACTCATTCGTTCCCATGACATTGAGAATCAATGTCATGGGATGACCTGGGGGTGCTTCGGTGTTTCGTTCGTTTGTAAAATTAACGGTTCTCACCCTCCTAATCTCCCAGTAAACCCCCCACCCCGCCCTAACCCGAACACACCCCTCACCCCTTCAATCGCTCCCCCAAGTTAATTTTGACATTCGAATAAAAAAAATTTAACCAAAAACTTACAGGGTAACAAAAAATCAAATTGATGATAATGTATCCAAATGTTTTGGAAAATCTCTTTATACACTACATTCGTGGTCTCGAAGTATGGTTTATCTTCATCGTTACATATTAAAATGATTAACCCCGAACGACTTTTAATCCTGGACATGGCAATGTACAACTGTTAGTAACTAAACACGGTAATTTTAGTAGCACTTCAACCTTGGAAAGTGATTATCCTTGACTCTTATTTATAGGCCTTGTTTGGAATCTGACAGTTCGCAGTTGGTTGTTGGCTGTTTATGTTGGCTGGTTTGAGTGACTGATTCAGTTAGCTGTTTTGACCAGCTGTTTCTGTTAGTTTCTGTTTGGCAACTTTAGCTGTTTATAGTTAGCTCTTTGTGAGTAAAATTAAATGTAAGGACATCCATCCATTTATGTTAATTTGTGTCAGATTTTAAATTTGTTTAATTTGATAAAATACACACATTATACAAGAAAATGCTTTACATTTTTTTCTTGGACAAAAAAGGCTACTTTGTTTTTTTAATTTAAGAAATGAGAATTCACATTTATACTCCCTCAGTTCCAAAATAAACTTCTCCTTTCGTCTTTTATTTGTCCCCAAATAAATTTCTCTTTTCCCTTTAAAAATCTCTTTTACTCCTTACTTTTTCATACTCTACCTATCGCATGCATCATACCTTTTTACTAATAATCTACATATCACGTACATCTTACTTTTACACTTTACATTAAGGGTATTTTTGGAAAGTCAACACCAAAATATCCCTCCCTTAATTTTCCAAAAAGTCAAAAAGGGAAGTTTATTTAGGGACGGATGGAGTATTTTATAAGTAGATTTTTTTTCATTTATCATTCTACAAATAACAACCATGCATGATATATTTTATTTTATAGTTTTTTAAATATGATATCATAAATATATAAAAATACTCTACACCAATTTTAAATTAAAAATTAAATAAATTACTCGAGACAAACATCACAGTCTGAAGTATCAAACATCTTTTGAGACAACATGAGCATTAGAAGTGACAAAAAATCAAACAAGCTCTCGACTTTTTACTAACGAGATGTTCTCGCCATCAAACTAGAAGTAATATTCTTGCGGATATTTCTTATTTCTTGACTTCTGATCATCACAATCTCAACACAACAAAAAAATAGAAATCGCAGCATAGAAAATTGAATTTTTACTAGTACCCAATTTTTCAATCAAAATATCGGAGCAAAAAAATGTCTTTACATACGTAATAGTTGGATCTCCATGTGAGATGTAAGATCTATGAACCCTTTACATAATTGTGCAGCAAGAGAAGCAAAAAAACAGAAAAAAACAAAATCGCAACAAAAAAACATGAGAAGCAGCAAGAGAAACAAAAAAAAGAATTACAGATGAGACACAGAATTGCAGAAAAATAAAGTAGAATCGCAGCATTTTAAAAAGGAAGAATAGCAGAACAAGAGAAATAGAAAAAAATTATGCAAATCTATAGCGTTCATTTATTTATCACGGGATTCGCAAAACATCTTGATCATGACAATAATCTCGTGCTAAGTGCTAATCTTGGCTAGCTTTCTTCAAAATCCCTTTTTTAAATTATACTCCCTGAGTCCCTTCCTCACGAAAAAAATACACAATTCATTATTTATAAAAGTATACATACCTCCGGTGCAAAGAGGATCACAGAGAGAAAGCCAGAGAGGTGCCGTGAGGATAGCAGAGATACGCAACACCGAAAAAAGGGTAAGAAACGAAAAAGGGGGTGAACTGCTAAATGAAATGCTGCTAGGATGGCATTTCTATTTTTGGTTGTTCGGTTCCAAATGCCAATTTCAAAAGTCATTACCTAAACAATTAATTTGGCGGTTTGACTAATCCAATCCACTATTTATGGTCAAAGATGCCACATGCTGGGTGAATCGCCATTTACCAAACATGGCCATAGTCATTGCTTAGGAAACCATGACTGGGAATTGTTTTTTCTATTTGAAACTTGAAAGGCAACTTTGTATCTAATACTCGATTCCCTAGTCTTATTACAATTGGTTCCTGGGAATCAATATCTTTTCCCCAATATTGCAGACAACAATGAGCTTTGCTTCTAATACTCGATTCCCTAGTCTTATTACAATTGGTCTTGTGTCATTACACAAACCATTTGCATGGTCAATGTTTTGCAATAGCATTATGGATGCTCCAACCTTTAGTCTTAACTCATGATTGGGAACCGTAGAACATTTGATGGTTTTTTAAGATTTCGATGGTGGGTATATCAGCAGCCAAACTATAACACATATTAGATTGGCATACAGTATTTGCACTATAGTAAACTCATTCCTCAGAATTGCGATTTAACATCCTCTATGTTAGACAAGGCGTGCAACACTAGAGGGGGGGTGAATAGAGTTGTTGAGAATGATTACCGATTTTCGCAGGATTAATAATATAAACATAAGTGCAGTGGAAATAAAAGAGAGAAGGCAAAGAACACACCGATGTATACTGGTTCACCACCTCGTGGCTAGTCCAGTTCCTCGAGAGACTCTCTCGACGCTAACACTACTTTTTTAAGCTTACGGGTGCTTAACAAACTGTTTACAACTCGAGAACTTGAGTCCCACAAGCCTCGACAAAACCGCTCGTAGATATGCCCTCTACAAGACTTCACACTCAAGACTCAAGTCACATAAGTCTTATACAATAAGAAGAAAAATCTTCTTTAGCCTCACAACAATAACTCTCACAAGAGTAGAAATGAGAAAAGATTAAGCTTTATGGATGACAAGAACACTCTCTTGAAAACCCTTAGTTTTCTCTCAAAATATATCAATTTGAGGAAGAAAAGAATGGAGGATTGTAACTTCAAGATTGGGGGAGGCTTGTTCATTGTAAAAATGACCAAGGAATTAAGTTTATAAAGAGGTTGAAAGAATATGTCCGTTGAAGCTTAGAAAAAATAGTTTGCTGAAAAATGCAGCATAAAAATAGATTTATGCCAAAATAATCGATTAATGCAGTCTGTGCAGAAATCATTCAGCGGACGAAGTAATAATCGATATTTTCCAAAGTGCAAAAATCGATTTTTGAAGCAATTATGCCCAAACAGGAAGGACACAATCATGTGTGCGAGGTGAAGTGCTAATTTGGAATTTAGCACCTGTTTAAGACTTAAAAATCAAATTAATAAGCTCCCCAATCAACAAATATAATTCAAATTCTAATTTGAATTATGAGAGTGTATTTTTGGTGTAGAAAATGAGCTCCAAAAATATTTTGTGTCAAACGATAAACACAAAAATATTTGAATAAAATATTTTTGCGTTCCAAAAATATTTTCTAATATCAAAATAAATATTTTGATAAATGTTTGACACACTTTTTGTAACTGACTAGGGGGTGTATTGAACTTGGATTTTAAAGGATTTTTTTGGATTATAAAATTCTATGAGTATTCAATTCAAAATTTTAAAAGTAATTTAAAATCTAAGTATAGTTGCTATACTTAGATTGCCTCAAATATAGTTGCTATACTCCACGTACCTTTGTCCAAAAGTAGTTCCAAGATGTTCAGCTCTCCATTAATGGTTCTCTGATGTCCATGGTCGTGACTTGCCAATCTAGGTCTCCATTGTGTCTCCAACCTAGCCACAAAAGAAATTTCAAATCATTTAGAAATTTCAGATCCTTTAGAAAACACAGTCTCACAAATAAAGCACCAAATACATACTCCGTAATGCACCTATCTCTTCTGATTTTCTAAAGGAGTATGTTACTCCGTACTTCCAATTGTTTCTTTGCTACTCCAAATCTGTTACTTCGTCTTTCACATCAGATTCCTAAGAAAAATCTATAGGGGAGGGAGGATGGGGGGCTTGGGAAGAAGAAGAGTAGGGAGGGCAAAATTTGAAACCCAACCTCTTTTTTATCTTACATTATAACCCATGCCAAGTCACAGTCGACTGTAAAAAGCATCTTTAAATGCTATAAGGCACATTGAGTTTGGTTTCTTACACTTGGTTCCGGAGTTTTTTCTCAAAATGTATGACTCTGTGTTTCCAAATTAATTTTGACATTCTCACATTACCACATTATGGAAAGAACTTCTCGAGCTCTTTCTAATACCATAAGATTCGTTGGTCTACTTGGTAGTCATGCTCTTGGTAGCAATCCGAGGTTCATGGCTACAGCGGTTGATCTAGGACGTGAATTGGTAAGGCGAAAAATCAGGCTTACCTACGGAGGAGGCAACGTTGGCCTTCAAGGAGCTGTAGCTTCAACGCTCTATAATAATGGTGGTAGAGTCAGAGGTTTCATACCAGGGTATATAGCAACACGAGGGGTCTATGGACCAACATATGGTGCGGAGTACACCGTTTCCAGCAATTACTATAAGTATTTCGAGATGAATCATATTGTGGAAGCCTTCATTGTACTTCCTGGAGGGATTGACACTATCGAAGGTTTGTTCACCTTAATCTCATGGGCATCTGAAGGGTTGCACAGCAGACCTATTGGTCTCTTAAACATTGACGGTTATTTCAATAACCTAATCAAGTTTCTAGATGATGCGGTGAGGCAGAACTTCATGGCTTTGAATCAGAGGAAACTGTTCATTTCTTCTTTCTTTGTTGATGAGCTTTTGGACAAGCTAGAGTTTGCTAAGGCTTTCCCAGGTCCTCGTGCTAGTTATGAAGAGTTTGCAAATCCTGGAAGCTTAGACTTAGAGTTGCATTTGTAATATTTCCAAGTTGAAATAATATTATCCATGTACATTACGTGTCAGTTATAAATATCGTTCTAAGCTGCATGACCAGTGCATTTCAGAAGAATATTTATTTCTAACATCAAAAAGTACCATGTAAATATTAATCCTTTTCTTTATCTTCCAGTCTTTCACTATTGGTGTGACTGTTTCACATCTTGTTTTGTATTGTCATCTTGTTACGACCTTTCAGGTCAATAGGGTATACGAACGAGTCAATTATCTTAATGTTTCTATGTAGATTCACTCTAATGTGTTTCAGATTCGATACATATGTCGTATTCGATCTGGTTTTGGAGACTCTGTTCGTGTTCTTAAAAAAACGACAGATTCACTTTTGGGGAATTTGTTCACTTTCTATCAGAGAAAATTCTTTCTTCAACGTATTCTTCGGCTTGACAGAAGTTGATTCACATTGTTCACTTAGCCATTTGCGTACTATGACATACGTATATGTCGCGCTTATCGGGTTTACAGTCCCTCTTCTTGATCTTCTGATGTCGACTGTGATCCTCGAAGAACATTTCGAGGCAATCTAAACATTATTGTAATCGAGTCTATGAGGATACTAGCAACTCAAAGGAAGCAAGTTTTTAATGAGTTAAGTACGTGTGTTATGTCATAATAACTTACTTGTTGATTACTTTCCCGGGGCAGAGATGTCGCGGAGGATGCGGATGCAGGACTTTGAAAATACTGACTCAATGATCCGAAAATCGTTTTGCTCTGATACCAAAATGTAACACCCCAATCCGTATAACCCGGAATTACACAAATTAAGGTGAAACGAGAGTTAAATAAAAATTTCGCTTGACATTTGAAAATGACAATTACTTATAAATATTAAATTTACAGACTCTGGATCGCGACCCGTTTAAAAATATCTTCAGAGTAATGCGGAAGTACAATAATAATTAAATCATGACACATTTAAAATCTTTGATGATCAAACATTTGCCTGCCATCCTTGCATCTCCTTTGACTCAATGCCCTCCGGGAGTGGTTCCGTCATTGTCCTCTTGTTACCTACGTGTAGTCAACGAAATGTACAAACTACACGCTCAGCGAAACCACTGAGTGGTACCACGCTAGAATTGTAGAATAATTAACAGACATATATATATATATACACATATATACGTCCACAAGGTGTATAATAATATTCATGATATGGCATATTATATCATATGATCAATTTGATGATTCATGATGATAAATATTTATTGATAATTAAATGATGGCACATTTAATCAATTTGCTTGTTTGTGAGGTTGATTACATGACACCTATGTAATAGATATAATTGTCCTTGATGATGATTACATGAAACCTATGTAATCAATATATTTGTTCTTGATGATGATTACATGACACCTATGTAATCAATGTACTTGATGTTGATGACATGATGCATGATTCTAAGTCAACAAGGACGACCCTTGCATTGTGAAATTCGCCCATTTGGTACGACAAACTCAGCGGCCTTAGTCTCACAAGGGAGACTAGAAAAATAGGGGTGGTACTCGAAAGCCTGAATATCATGTACGTACACTAAGCCCGGTCAGTGATGTCGGACTGCTAAGTCCCGCACAATCACAGCTATAAGAGACGCAATTACGCATGATCTCTTACGCATGCATATGATATGATATGCTACAATATGTGTGATGATATGAGTCATACGATATGAAGAATTTGTAAATAATATGTATGGATAAATATACTTTATTTTATTTGGGTGAAATATGATAAAAATATCATTTAATTAAGCTACGGGGCTCGGAACGGTCGACCGTTTGGCGCGACGGTCGACCTTGATCTTCATCAGGTCGGATTGGCAAATCACCGTGACGGTCGACCGTGGTTGACCGGCGGTTGACCGTTGTTGACTGGCTGCGGATGGCGGACTTCGGCTGGTTGGCGGCGGTCGACCGTTCGCCGACGGCGGTCGACTGTTCTGCTGACAGTCGTGGTCCGTTTCGAAGTTTAATACGACGGTCGACCATTTGCGTCGACCGTTTGGGTCTGTGAATCTTTCTCTTGATATTTTGAGTGTCCAAAATACTTCTTTAAGTCTTTTAAACAACTTTGATTAACATATACATATTGTTGGGTTGATTTCCAAAGTTTATATTTACTTATGTGTATATTATCTTTATGGATTTGGTGTATTTTGATCTCAACATATAGATGACTTATATATGCATCACATATATATTTTGGGATGATTTCAACATACGGATTAATATATATGTTCATGTATGTATTTGATGAATGATTCGACAAGTCTAACGCAAGGGTACAGACCTGGAAATCATCGGTCGAAACCTTACGGATGAGTGGGAGTGGAAACAACATCGAAGTTCGCCAACTTTGTCATTTCCGTCACAATTGGACAGCCTGCCGTATTTTTGGCATATCTCCATCGTTTCTTCACGGAATTGCAAACCGTTTGATTCTGTGGATTCCTAAGATGTAAGGCTATAACTTTCGTACAGAAAGTATTTCGAGTGAACAGATGTAAGATAGCGTAAATTGGACCTGAAGTCAAAAGATAGTTGCTGTCCAGGATTTCGGATATGTCGATGAACAACGATTTCGATGATTAACTCATTGACTTCAATATTCCAACACTGAACCTTCTCTATGATACCTTCCGGATGTTCCTAATAATCGTTAGAGAGTTTATGGTAAGTGTTTGGAATGAAACAACATAGATATGGTGAGGAAACATAGCCAACCCGAGGAGCTCGCCACCACTGGCGCAGTCCCGGTATTTTGGCCATATCTTCTTCGTTACTTAACGAAATCGCGAGCCGTTTGTTGGGCTGGATTCGTATCGTCCGGTGCTACAACCTTTGCTCAGAAAGTATTTCGAGATAATGGATGGAAAATTTTAGTTTTTACCTCAAAGTGGCTGCTGCGTTTTTGAGCTAAACATTTGGAAACTTTGGATGGTTTCTTGCTTGCTTCTCCTTCCTTGGCACAACAATGGAGATAAAACTTTCTTTCCCCTTTCTTGATGCTTGGACGACAGAGAGAGAATGGGAGGAGAGAGGAGTGTTGTGTGTGTGGATGATAGGAGATGATGATGATGGTGATATAGTATAGCTTTTCTTTGTTTATTATATTTTTCTTTTGATTTTTAGTGTAGGATGGGAAATTTGGGGTGACTTTGTGAAGATTGAGGTGGCTAGTGGAGATCATGGGCTGAATACGTGATTGAGTAGGGATTTTAAAATATTTTCTTACTCCGTAACTGTTAAACTGAGTAAAACGGTACGCGCTTTTTCGCCCAAACTGCTCCGAATTGAAAACGGATTATATTTTTGGAGTCAGACTGTCAAAACTAGAATTTTGACGTAATCAAAATATTTTTCTAAGAACTTTTATTTTTTCTGTGTTCGGGTCTGTCTCAGTCATAAATTAATTTAATAATATAAATGATATAAAAATATATGAATTTAATCCAAATGATAAATATGGTGTTGTCAAGTGTCAAAAATTAAGATTTCTAATCTTATGAAATCTCTTTGGAATTGAGTTTATTTTATGGGTCAAAGTTATAATAAATTTTAGGCCATGTTTCGTGGCGTTACAAGGAGTATGTTACTCCGTACTTCCAATTGTTTCTTTGCTACTCCAAATCTGTTACTTCGTCTTGCACATCAGATTCCTAAGAAAAAACTGTAGGGGAGGGAGGATGGGGGGCTTGGGAAGAAGAAGAGTAGGGAGGGCAAAATTTGAAACCCAACCTCTTTTTTATCTTACATTATAACCCATGCCAAGTCACAGTCGACTGTTAAAAACATCTTTAAATGCTATAAGGCACAGTGAGTTTGGTTTCTTACACTTTGTTCCGGGGTGTTTTTCTCAAAATGTATGACTATGTGTTTCCGAATTAATTTTTACATGTTTAAAACTCACTTTTTACCTACTTCTTAACCAACATCTTCCTTCTTGAGTCCTGTCCAAGGTCTACAATTACACCCAGTCACACCCCCATAGACAATTTTCTCTTTTTCTTCATTTTTCACACATCATTGATATTAAGTTAAAACAATCAATCTCAATCACTCTCACATGTCACCTAGTACAACCCTGTAAAAAGCACCCGAGCATTGAAGATGCTTTAAGAGACAACAAAATGTGCCATGTATTCTACTCGTCAATTCTAGGATCTGAAATTTTATACCTAAAATACGAAAATCTCAATCTAGCCACAAGAAATTGGTAAGAAAATGAAAACATTGTAAAAGCATCACAGAACCTCAAAATTAGAGGGCGGTGGATGCTTTGAGAATCCATTTGGGCCATAAATTTGAATTTTAAAAAATTGGAAAAATAAAATTTTGAGATTTAAAAATTCAAATTTAAAAAGGACACAACAAGTGGATCTTTGTCTTAGATGTGGTTTCAACTACGAAACTTACTCTGATACCAATTGTTAATCACTTTATTCGTTGTGCCCACGCCTTAGAGGGGGGTGAATAAGGCGTTTAAAAACTTTTCGGAGTTTAATAAAAAACGGTGTTGGCAAATGCAGAAGCAATATATAAATCGCAAAAGTAAAAGCGTAAAGTAAATGCACACCGATTTTATACTGGTTCAGGAACTCTCTACTCCAGTACCTTAAGGCTCCTCCATAAAGATTTTCAATCCACTAGAACGCCTTGACTGTCTCAATACGATCGTCACGAGGGAACCAGTCTTTGGCAAACAAACCTTTGCCAATAGGTTTACACTAGATCGACAATATTTCACGCCTTGAAGTATCCAACTAGATTGAGGATTTTTCAACGGCTATCCCCAACCGTCTCAACAAGGATTTCACGGATGTCCTTAACCGCTTCCGGAGATTTCACAACGGCTATCTCCAACCGTTTCAATGAAGATTTTACAACGGATATCTTCAACGTATTACAAGGATATGAGAATTTGAATGAATCAACACCACCTCAAGAATATGAAATACAAGGTTGGGTTGGTGTGATGATTTCTATACACTCTAACAATTACAACTCTCTTATAGATAAAGCTCAATGTGTGTTCAAGAAAATATATTGAAGAAATGGCTCTTTAATAGCCTAATAAAAATTAGAGGTTTATGAACACAAGAAGAAAGAATTAAGAGATTTTAGCAAGGCTTTATTAAACAAAACATTGAAATGGTTTGGGTATTTATAGGGAAGGATTAGGAGTTGTTTGAAATAGAAAAATAGCTGTTAGGGAAGAATAACTAACTCCTAATACCATAATTAAACTAATCCAACCGTTGGGTGTGAAAAAGACAAGAAACAAAGAATCTGGTCTCTGAACGGTCCATCACATCAACCGTTTCAGTACAAACGGTCGACCGTTCAGGGTGTTGGTCTTATGGGGGACCATCAATCACCGTTAGGGATTCGCTACTGTGCTTAGCACGGTATCGGGTATTGACAGCCCAACCTGACGAGGTACATGAGTCGTGTATCTTGCGAAGCCCCTCCTGTATACATCGGTGTGTTCTTTGCCTTCTCTCTTTTATTTCCGCTGCAACTCTATTCACCCACCCTTCTAGAGTTGCACGCTTTGTCTAACAATTGGTATCGGAGCGGGTATCTCTAATGCTTCTTGTGACGTTTGAGAAAATGATCAAAAAAACTTTTGCCGTAAGGCCACCATTTTTTGATGGAACGAATAACTCCTATTGGAAGGAGGGGATGAGAATTTTTGTTCAATCTAATGACTTCAAAATTTGGTTTGCTATCAAGAATGGAGATAGCTTGCCGATGAAGAAGATAAACGGTACACTCATCCCAAAGAACGAGGATGAATATGATGAAGCCAACTTCAAGAAGGCTCAATTGAATGCCACCGCCATAAACTTCTTGTATTGTGCTGTCAACGCCAATAATTATCAAAAGATATCTCGTTGCCAAACCGCCAACCAAATGTGGAAAAGCTCATGATCACATACGAAGGTACTCCTCATGTTCATGAATCAAAAATTGATTTACTAACCCATAAATATATATGAGTTATTTGCTATGAAAGAGAACGAGCTTGTGGAGGACATGTTTGGAAGATTTTCAAACATTATCAACGACCTCGATATGCTTGGAAAGACTTTCACCAACAAGGAGTTAGTGAGGAAAATTCTACGAAGTCTTACCAAGGAATGGGAGTCGAAGGTTAACTCCATTTACGAAGGCTGAGATTACAACATCATCACATACGACGGTCTTTGAGGAAACCTTATCAGTTACGAAACAAATTATCTTTCTCATACTCTTGATGTTAAGAAGAGAATGGGAATTGCTTTTAAAGCATCTTCTTCTCAAAAAGTAGAGATTAATGATTCAGATTCGGATAGTGATAGTGATAGTAATTCTAGTACTTCTTGTGATATTTTGGTTGAATGTTTTAACGAGTATATGAAACATGAGCTTAATAAGAGCAAGAAGAAAATCACCACAAAATGTCACAAGTGTGGAAAGCTTGGCCACCAAAAATTTGAGTGCCCGAAGCTCAAGAAAATTAGCAAACACGATGAATTTGCGTATTTTTCGTGGAATTGTGATCAACCTTTTTTTGTTATTTGTTGATAGCATATCCTCCATGTGTTTGTCATTATCAAAAAGGGGGAAATTGTTGGAATGCAAGAGTTCAACCCTTTTCTATGTTGTTAAGTGTTGACTCACATGTTTTGATAATTGACAAACACACTTTATTCAAGTCAAGATCAAAGTGCTACAACGATACACACGAAAACTTGAAGTGCCATTTCTTGAAGTATTCAAGAAGATGCACAGAATTTTATTGGAGTCCAAGACGCATTCGGAGCCCCTAACAAAGGACTCGGAGGAGTAGAAGATTTCCGAAGACTTTTTATGTAACACCCCGGCCCCTACCCTAGCCGTAAGTGCTTGCTCATAGGATTGTAGACTGGCCCCACAAACAACCACAAGTTTTCCTGCGTACTTTGTCCTCACAAACCAAAACTTCCCGGGGGGTCACCCATCTTAGAATTGCTCCAGGTCAAGCACGCTTAACTTTGGAGTTTCAAGGTGATGAGCTCTCGAAAAGAAGATGCACCTTGTTGGTATGAGTAGTACTATCAATCCTTTTGAGCTCTTCCCATCTTGATACGGAATATCAAGATGGCAAAAATATCTTTTCTACAAAATTTATTTTTATGAGAGTTAAAATAAAAATTATATATTTTTTGAGTCAGTTGAAAAATCTTTTTAACTGTTCAAAATAATTTTATTGAGTCAGTTACAAAAGGTATGCCAAACATTTATCAAATACTTATTTTGATAATACAAAATATTTTTGGTAAGCAAATATTTTTCGTGTACATTGTTTGACACACAAAATATTTTTGGGACTCATTTTCTATACCAAATATTCTTCTCATAATTCAAAATTGTTTTTGAACTATCCTTGTTTGTTTATGGGAGCCTTCTCCCCTGATTCCTTTGTCCCAAACAAGGCCTTAATGCCAAAATATCCTTCCAACTCGCCCACATGCCTGTGTTCTTCATGTTTGGGCATTATTGTTGCAATAATCGATTATTACCTTTGGAATTAATCGATTATCTTGTCCAGAAGAAACTAATCGATTAACACCTTTGGCTTTAATCGATTATCACTTTTCTGTGTAGAAGGAATTTTGCTCTGGCGAAATTAATCGATTTTTTCACTTGCATTAATAGATTATGATGATGCATAAATCGATTTTTATGCTGCATTTGTTATCACAACTTGTTTTCTTGGACCAACGGATATATTTCTTCACCTCCTATTTAAACACACTTCCTTGGTCATTTTTCACAACAAGAAACACTCCAATACTCCCCATTCTTGAGGTGTTAATCCTCCATCAATCATTCCTCAAATTTATATTAGAATAAATAGCATAAAAGGTCCCCAGTTATAAGTCGTTTTACATATTTAATCCCTACATATCAAATATTACTAATTTAGTCCCCAATTATTATATTAATTTCCACGAATGCTCCTTTGTTAACATTTCCGTCAAGAACGTAGATAGAATTGTAAATTCACACTTCTTTCTCTCCTCAATTAAGTTTCATCCCTCCCTTCGCACACCTTTCCCAAACCCGTCGCTGAGTTTGAAGCTTTAAATCCAAAATCGAAATCATCACTCTTCTCTCAATTGTTTGCCTAACTGATGGAACCCAAATTTGAAATGGATGAGTTTTAATTTTTATTTTCTCTGTAATTTCTTGAGACTCACCGATAAAACACATCCATGAAGCTTTTGGTTTTGATTTTTTGTTCCACTAGGAAGACTAATAATTGAGAGAGGAATGATCATTTCAGTTTTGGGTTTGGAGCTTCAAACTCAGCGACAAGTTTGGGAAAGAGTACGAGAGGAGGGAGAAAGCTTAGAAGTATGAATATACAATTTTATCCGTGTTCTTAACAAAAATGTTAACAAAGGACCATTCGTGAAAAATGATATAGTAATTGAGGACTAAATTAGTAATATTTGATATGTAAGGACTAAATATGTAAAATGACCTATATATAGGGACCTTTTATGGAATTTAATCTTTATATTATTTTGAGGGAAAATTATTTGTTTTTAAGAGAGGTTTCTTGTCACCCATTAGAACTTTAATCATTTCTCATTTCTACTCTTTTGAGCGTTTATGTTGAGAGGTTGAAGAAGATTGTTCTTCTTATTGCACAAGACTTATGTGACTTAAGTCTTGGTTGTGAAGTCTTTTAGAGGGCATATCTACGAGCGGTTGTGTCGAGGCTTGTGGGATTCAAGTTCTCGAGTTGTAAACGGTTTGTTAAGCACCCGTAAGCTTAACGGAAGTAGTGGTAGCTTTGAGAGTGTCTCTCGGGGAACTGGACTAGCCACGAGGTGGTGAACTAGTATACATCGGTGTGTTCTTTGCTTTCTCTCTTTTATTTCCGCTGCACTTAGGTTTATATTATTAATCCTGCAAAAATCAGTAATCATTCTCAACAACTCTCTTCACCCCCCCTCTAGAGTTGCACGCCTTGTCTAACATAGTTCAAAACGAGCTACAGACCTAGACGGATTAGGGTGTTAAATATGAGACGATGGAGATGAGATACTGGAAGAACCTAGAAGGAGAGTCTCTAGGGCTCTGTGATGCTTGGAGAGAGGAGATGATCGGCTCTATAGAAATATCACACTTCATAGCATGTCGAGCTTTTCTCTTCTTACCCACTAGAATGTGGACATCCCCTTTACCCTCTAAGTTGGACAGAAATGCATCCAAGTTAGGGTGTGGTGTGGTTTGTATAGTAGAGGACGGAAGTTCATAAACCACTCTACAGTAGCCTCAAACCTGTAAGGAGAAAGAATGCTTCGTACAACTTGCAATCAAAATAATGATAATTTATTATTTTGAATTCTTAATCAATTTTGACCATGTATATACCTGTAGATCACCAATGTAACCATTGATCTCTCTGTAAGTGATTTTCTTCTTGAATGAAATTTCACCACAAAGGAAGATTCTTGGCCCAGCTGGGAATGTTTGTTGTCTTTTGTTGTAATCTTTGTTGCAATCCCCAAGAAACTCTCCTAGAAAAAGATCTTTTCATATTCAAAGTTTCAATGAGATCACATTACGAATTAGAAAAACAATTGTTATAATTGAAAAGTTCATCATCCCAATTGGAAGCAAGAAACAAGTGTAATATATTGTTGATGAAGTCCCACTTCTCACTGATTTGGCCTCAATAGCTAAGTGCTTCTTGAGTGACTCTAATGACTCCATAAATGCCCAGGTTCCCCATAGGGAATCTCTACCTGCTCTCCACTGTTCAATCATGCCCAATATTCAATCTAGTATAGCGGACTTGTTGCAATCAGTAGGACCAAACATAACAACAACAATAAACAAAACTGTGGCCATTTTCACAGCCCCCATCTCTTGTCCTTCATTCTTTTCATCGTCTAAGTCTTTACACATGTTATGGAAAAGCTGCACAACCATCTTGTATGTAACTGCAATAGACTTCTTTCCCTTCCTTGCCGAAGGAAAGTATGCTCGAATAAAATCATTCTTGGCTGAGGTCAAATCATTTGACGATTTAAAGTCGGTGTTCAGCTGAGAGCAGTTCCAGCCACTAATAAGGGAAAACTCCATCAATAAATCACATCTCTCCTTGCCTCTTTATTTTGGCTTCCCTCGCAATGAAATGTCGTAAAAAACAAAGAGGGAGGATTACACTCAACATCCAAAATTATGCAAAAGGGGTATTCTCCTTAAACAAAGTAAGAACTTCTAGATGATCTCCTAGTCCATCACTCATCATATTCTAGAACTATCCCAAAGACGATTTCAAAGTTAACTTCATTCCAAATAATTTTTCCATTTCAATGGTGCATTTCAATGCTGGAATCTAAAATAGAAACACAAAATAATTATTAAAATGAATTTAAATGAATTTCGACTATTACCGATAACTGTAACAATACATTGATAGTTTTTATGGTCAAATGACTTGTTGTACTTTCGAATTAATCACTCTAAAGTAAAAGAAACTTAAAATATTACTCCCTCCGTCCACCAGTTTTTGTCTACTTTCATTTTTACACACCATCCAATGCCCTTCTTTAATCCATTTTATCTTGTAATTTGTATATTAAAAAATTATAGAAATTATATATTAATAATTTATATGTTAAGACAAATCAAACAAGATCACACATGACTATATTTAGGCTTACACATTGAGAGAATTTGATGAGTCAAAGTGCTTAGATGAACAGTTCCAAAAGTCAAAAGTGGACAAAAACTAGGGGACGGAGGGAGTATATTTTAGTGTACATACAATCTACCTCAATTTCGGAAGCATCCGGAACGATTCACCTTCCAAAGATTGAGATACCCCACTAGAAATCTGACAGAAAGCACAAATAGTTTAAATTTAAAATCGAAATTCGTTAAAATGAAATTACATATTTTGCATTCTCTATCTCCTCTCTTCGTGTTTGGGTGATAGTTCTTCTTCTCTTGTATTGGACCGTGTCATTTGCACCGATGTTCTCAATAGTAAAGCACAGTGTGGTGGTAATTGAAGCTATCTAACGATAAGATGCAGTATACCAGGGTCGACAATGATGGAATCAGCTAGGGAGAACAAAGAGCACAACAATTTCAAGGGGAGAAGGCGTATCGTTTTCAAAGATTGGTCGGGGGTTAAGGATTCGCTGGGCCTTCAAACGATGCCGTTTTGACCCAAAAAATCATCATCTCTCTTCGACGGCAACTTAACAATGGGTCATTTGGCAACTTAACAATGGGTCATTAACTTTAATATTTTCGTTAAATTTTTAAATTAATGGTCACAAACAGTAACATTTTATTGCTTAGTTTGAAGGGTCTTTCATTTCGGGCAAATATAACCAACATGCTTCGCACAATTCTTTATTAGGGAGTAGTACATTTAGAAGAACATTCTCATAAAATCCAACCTTTTTGTGTGCTTTTCCATAAATTCTTCACACCAGGGGTAGAGGTGTAGTTCACACTTCCCAACTTTCTCCTTCGTTCCATTTGATGAATGAGCGCCCAATTCAAAAGTTCTCCCGTCTTCCTCGAGCTGCAGAACCCTTCTCATGCCATAGAATCCATCACTCTCAGCCGTCGGTGCTAGTCGCTGAAATGAGAGCATTCAGAGCGCTCAGCTTTCAAACGCGCTTTCTCAATCTCTCTTTAAACAAATCATTGTTAAACCCTACTCAAACTTCATTAGGTAAATACTCCAAAAGTAATGGAATTTTACGCCATTTCTGGTCTTCTCGCCTTCTCATGTTCCCAGAAGAATCAACAGCTGTTAATGTCGATGTAAACGGATGGCGCGCAGGTTCCAAAGAAAACTCCAGCATTGAGACTTTCTATGATGCTACCACCGGCCAACTTGTGACTCGAAGGGTTCAGTCACATGAAGAGGCATCACGAAGGAAGGCTGCTTCGAATTCTGAAAATGGCAGTTCTTCAAATTCTTCCAGTTCTCAGTATGTGCATGGGTCCGAAAGTAGGGTGTACGGGGAGGTTGTAGGGAATATGAGTGGTAAAAAGAAGGGGAAGGGAAAGAGTAAACCTATATGGGTGTGCTCGGATTGTGGATATACAGATGGTCAGTGGTGGGGAGTTTGTAAGGAATGTAATGGTGTCAATACCTTGAAGCAGTTCTCCCCAGGAGCTGATCGGCCCACCGGTGGCATTGGGATTTCCGAAAATGTGATGAGATCATGGTTACCTCACCAGCGTGACAAACCTATGCCAGTGAAATTGTCAGATGTGAACAAGGGGATTAATCAGTTCAATTGGAGAATTTCCTTGTAAGTTAAAAGAGAGCTCAGGCCTGCTTCATTTTGGCTAATTGTTTTCCTTTAAGTATTTTAAATAATCTGGATTGCTTGTTTAAGAACTTGTTTTTCACATTTATTTCTTAAGTTGGTTAATTTCTGGAGGCTTGCTATTATGATTACCAAAAATGGAAATGATTAATGCTTTCATATTTAGATGTGGGCTCTTTGGTACTGAAGTTGAAAGAGTGCTTGGTGGTGGACTTGTTCCAGGTATTTAGTACAAGATCTTATATCAATAGATCATGAGGGCAAACTCACTTGAAAACAAATGGTTGTTATGACATTTGATACACATTTTTTCGTGTTTATTATCTATTTATTTATTGATTTTTACAAATGTTTAGGGTTTATGGGACTCAACACGAGTGTACTGAAATGAAGGTGTTACTTTTAAATAAGAATATTCATAATTATTGAAATTGTATGGTATGATAAACTACTACTTTTGTTGACATGAAATTATGAATTTTGACTTTCAACTTCATCGATTCTAAGGACTATTACCCGGCTTATATAGAAAAGTAATGGGGCTAAACCCAATTGATAACATAAACCTAATAAGAATGTGAAACCATGCCACTTCTAAAATCAGGATTACTATATTTTTATAATTGAATAATTTTATATGCTTTAACATATCTTTCTATTTCGTAATCTATAGGCTCCTTAGTTTTAGTGGGTGGAGATCCTGGTGTTGGCAAGAGCACATTATTGTTACAAGTATGACATTTGAAGGAGGAATGATGCATGGAATATATGAAGCACAATAGTATTTGAATAAATTTTGGTTTCTGCTGACTATTTTGCCATGTATTCTCCTTCTGCAAGGTTGCAGCTATACTTAGTGAAGGGCGTAATACAATTCAATCTGCACCAGTTGTTTATGTCTCTGGTGAAGAGGTTAGTGTTTATAATGCTTGGTTGTATAACAATTTCACAACTTTTTTGCATTTCCAGTCAACCTATGGCAACACAATCTCGATCTTAGATATTACCTCAAAAAAATAGTTTAGCTCTTGGGAATTTGGCATTTTGCGGTATGAAGCATGGAATTAGCATTCAATTTTCAAGATGGAAGTATTGCATAAGATTATGATCATAATGAGTTGAGTAGTTGACCCAATGCTTCAATTTTCACAATTCAGTATTCACAATTTTTTATCACACAACACCAATGTCAGAATCCATTTTAGAATACTCCGTATAAAGCTGTAGGCCTGCGTATGTACTTTTGGGTCACAAGTCTAAAGGGACAAAGTCTCAACCTTTTAAAAACTTCAACAACGAGCGTTTGGACATTCAACTAAACAAGACTTGCATGAAGTTAAATTGATGCTTATGAAATGAAAGTCAATTCACCTTAGCATGATTGCTTCTGAATTATGCAAATATTGGCTTAATGTCAATCTATTGTTTTTCATGTCAGAGCATTGAACAAATTGGAAATAGAGCGGATCGAATGAGAATTGGGACTGAAAAACTCTTCTTATACACAAGTACAGATGTTGAGGTATGACGCCTGCAGTTGCCTCGATCTTATGATTAAATACTTCTGGGTAGTTTATATTCAATTACAACTCTCTTTAACATTTTTGTGTATTGATGCAAGCCAAGTGGTAAATGTATATACCATTAGTCTGACTTTCTGCCTACGGATCAGACCTCTAATTTGCAAGCTTTCTTCAGGATATTCTGGAAAAGGTTCAGCGCCTTTTACCATGTGCTTTAATAATTGATTCCATTCAGACAGTTTTTCTCAGAGGAGTAGCTGGAAGTGCTGGAAGCATAACTCAGGTGTGATAAGTTTTATTGTATCCTATCATAGCCATTTAATTTGGTTAATGCAGAAGGAAAAATGAGAGCACTTGTGAAAGAGGCTGAAGGGATTCTCAAATAATTAGATTATTTGTCACGTATAATTGGTTATAGATGAAAACAAAGTTGATAAAATTTAAAAACCATTATGGCTTTATATCTCAATATATGAGTATGGAAAACATCAAATTTTGTAAATAAATTATGCAAGATGTAAATAAATTACGTCAAATTTTGTAAATAAATTATGCACCATTATGGCTTTATATCTCAATATATGAGTATGGAAAATGTCAAATTTTGTACATAAATTATCTAAAATTATCCCATTGGTGCATTATTCTTAATTTTCTTCTATCTTAGCTATCAACTTGTGTATATTATCTTCTATAATTTCTGTTCCTCTCTATCTAAACCTTTAAGCTTATTGATCGTTGTGCTTACTGTTAATAGGCTGCCAACTTTAGTGATACTACTTGCATATTTGACAGGTGAAGGAGTGCACCGAAGCATTTCTCCGTTTTGCCAAGAGAACCAATATTCCCGTTCTTTTGGTAAGTATTTACTCCCTCCGCCCCAAATTCATATTCCCATGTGAAAATGGTATATGTTTTTAGAGGAGGTTGAAAAGTGTTATTGATTGGGAAAGTGACTTTTTTTATCAAGAGAGAGGGGGGAGATCCCGAGCTAGTAGCTAGAGGAAGTGTTCTGCATAGTGTTAATGCCTGTCATGTATTCAGCAATTAAAGTCTCTAGATCCGCCGTTGGAACCTCAAAAATTCTCCAGTCCATGTCTTGAAAAGCCCCACCATTAGCGGCAAGATGATCTGCACCTTGTTTTGTTCATGAAGTATAGCTCTGAAGCTGATAATTCGGAACCTCTCTTTCCAACTCCTGATAGCTGCAATAGTTTCACTCATGGGTCCTCTCAAGCCGACTGACCTCGTAAGTCTGCACCTCAAGATCTCTCACCCCCCCTCTCTCCAAGGCCCATTGGATGCCTTTCTGGATAGATTTAGCTTCACTGCCCTCAATATTGGTAAGCCTAGTTCTGGAAGAGAAACCACCCAACCATTCTCCACTATTGTTGTGAATGATTCCACCGCATCCAGCCCTGATCGCCAATATTTTTCTGCTTCCGTCGTCATTCAAAGTAAACTCATTATCAATTGTTGGTTTCCACTTAAGCAATCAATCTCTTGCAGTCAAAGAAGAGATCATTTGATAAGACCTAAAGTAGAACTTATGTGGGTAGTTGAAGGGTGAACATGTCTTTTCAATGGTTTAAAATTTCCAAAAAGTAATGAAAAGATGATTTCGGGATACTAATATGGTAAGAGGGAAGATGATTTTGGGACAAAGGGAGTAGTTAATATGAAATTGGAATAACACCTTGAACCATGGTTTTAAAAGGTGAAAAGGCGGTCCGCCTCGAGGCAGTAAGGCGGTCAGATCTAGCCTCAGAGGCGTCTGCACTAGGTGGGATCTGTGAGGTGTACGCCTTGTTTTCCGAGGCAGTCCAAGGCGGTTGAGGCGGTAAGGCGTTTGTGAGTCGTTAGCCTCAATTTGGATCTTGTTTCATGGGATTGGCGATTGACCGAAACAAGCGAAATTTCGATCGACAGGTGGGATCTGTTTTTTCCCGATCAGACTCTTCCGAGTTCCGACTTTGTAATTTCTTTTCTTTTTTTTCTTTTTTTGATGGCTCTACTCATTTCTTTTTGTGAAGCTCCCAGAGCTCTACTCCCTATTTCTTTTTTATTTTCTTTTTCGGACGGCTACTCCCTGTTTTCTTATTGCACTTGTGGTCTTATCACAATTTTCTTTACCCAGGTATTTTTTTCTTTTTATTGAGCTTTTTTAATACTCCGTACTCCATATACTCCGTACTCCATATACTCCGTTTGTATTTACTCCATTCTTCCTTCACTTTTTTATTCACAGCTTTTTTTACTACGCCTCCATTCTTCCTTCACTTTTTACTCACAACTTTTTTAGATTCTTTTGAAAGCTGAATTTCATGTCATTTATTGTTATTAAATATGGTGTTTTTTTAGTATCTTGGTTGTGATTTGTGCAGTACATTAAACTTTGTTTTGTATATTAATGTTTTAGACAATGATAGGCTGAGTTTTGAGTAACTTAAAACTTGGAGACTCAAATTGTAGTCTCAAAATGATACCATGAATATGGATTATTTAATTGCCTTTTTTTACCCTTTTTTTGTTTAAATGAAAACCTGTGTATGATTTTATGATTTAGTTTACATAATAATGGATCCTCCATTTTGTTGTACCTAAGAGTTTTTATTATGGTGTTTTTTTCCAAGTTGAACTGATGCTTTCGCCTCGTTCCGCCTCGAGGCTTACGCCTCAAGGCATTTTGCCTAACCGCCTTGAGGCTTGTGTTCGCCTTTTAAAACCTTCTATAACTATGCAATTACATTCAGCATCTTTGTCTTTTGTTAATTACTCTGTATTTTTAAAAGTATATGGCCCCGTGTTATACCCGAGACCCGGGGTATAATCAAGTTGCTATTTGAAGATGGAATTATGGAATGGTGAAGAGGAAATGAGGGGGACGAAATATGGGGGTGGAACAAAGAGTTGTTTTTTTGGGTTTTTGATGAAAGAAAAGAATAAGTTCAAGAAGAAGAAATGGTGAGAAATGAAATTGGCAGAGGTAAAGTGAAGGGATAAACCAAGTTGGTGTTAAGAGATATAACACTCTTATCTTAACTTGGGGTTTGAATCTAGAATTCAATCAAGATATGACACACTTAATTAAATATCTAGAACCTAAAACTCACACTTAAGAGAACCACTCTTAAGATATAGAATTAGGAATTTGGCTAAAATAGCATCACACTATTTTAAGAGAATACTCAAAAGAGTAAACAAGGTTTTTGAATTAAAATATGCTGCTTACAATGGCCATAAGGCCGAACTATATATGCACACTACAAAGGGGAAATAATACATTAATAATGAAGAAGAAAACAATAACAAAGAAGCTTCCTACTGCCTTCCCAAATCAGCATCCAGAGTGCATTGATTATTAGGATGAGGGTTTCCTTTGGCTGTTTTTTTTGGGGTGTGTATGTCGGCCACATGTGAGGAAAGTCCAAGGCTGTGACAAAGCTTTATTTAGAATATTTTGGAAGGGTCTATTTCGTCCATATGTAGCACAAATAAGTGGGAAACATTGTGGGGCTTAGTGGGATGTTATTTGGCTAAAAATGGGGCTGGTTTGTTCGGCCTCTAGTGAATAAAATCACAAGGAGATATTGGATGAATTTGGAGGATATTCTTTGGCTTGTTTTGAAGAGATTATTTCGGCCTTTTGTAGGGGAAAAGGTGAGGAAGGTACACTACATGTTTGGTTGTGAAATTAGTCAACAAAAGGAGAAACTTTTACAATTCAACTTTAGACTCTTTTTGCTGATTTTTTTATTTGTGGTAAATGGTAATTTTGGTTGGATT